TGGTCCCTTATCTTTTTTTTTTTTTGTCTTTATTATACCACTGAACTTACTAATCCTGCTCACCAAAACCCTCGATACCGGTTATCACCTGTTATGCCGGTTATCTCATTTAAGTAGAGATGACATGTCGTATTACGTGGACCTAGACCACGTTGCAAACCCATTACTCTTTCACCCCCAATTCTCCTTACAATTAGGGTTTAATCGAATAATACAGTTATGAAATTGAAGAGAAGTGGAGAATGCGAGTGTTACAGTGAAGAAGATGGCCTCCGATTCCAAACTCCGTAAGTATTTGACAGTTTATGTACATTATAATGGTTTATTTGCACCAAAACCATTAGTGTACTTGAACTCTGTTGTTGTTTCAATCGCTGATGTTGATTTTGGTGGAATGGATCTCAAAGATTTTAAGTTGTTCATTGAAAAGTTGATTGAAGGCAGTTGCGATAATGTATATTATTGCACTAGAAATGAACCATTGGCAGAGGGTATTAGGAGAATTGGGAATGATGCTGGCTACTATGAGTTTATTGAAACGGGTTATAGTGATGAAGTTGGTCTAACAATGAATGTGTATATAGACCACGAAAATGAACCTGTACTTGATTGGGATGATATGGAAGTAGTAGAAGATGATGAAGGGCATTATTCTGAGCCAGACGTGGATGATGATAAAGAGTCACAACTTTCTGATGATATTTCATATGAGCATGAAGCAGATGGTTACATTCATTCTCTTGACAAAACTGTTGGTGATGAATTCTTACACCGGGTGTCAGGTATTTCTAAGGATAAAAATGATGAACTTGAAACTGATGAGGTTGAAACCAACAATAAGGATGACAAACCAATGTACCCTGTCCATAATGAGAACCAGAAATGGGACAAAATGGTGCCAATTCTAGGTATGAGATTCTCTAACCCTATGGAATTGAAAATTTGTTTGACTAACTATGCAGTGAAGAATGGGTACAATCTTTATTATGAGAAAAATGATAGTCACAGGTTATTAGTGAGATGCTGTAAAGATAGCCAGAACCCTTCTTGTCCTTTTAGACCGTGGGCTTCCTGGATGAGTAGTGAAAGGTCTTTCCAGATTAAGTCCTTAGTTGATGACCATAATTGTTCAAGAGTCTTCAAACTTGGTTCCATTGTAACATATAAATGGATTGGAAAACATTTTAAGAATCAACTTTTGAAGAACCCCAAAATGAGCATAAGGAAAATGAAAACCAAAGTGAGTACAAAGTTTAACTTGATTGTTAGTGTGACTCAATGTAGAAATGCTAGGATATATGCTTTGGATGAGATAGAGGGTAGCTTGATAGAACATTATGGTAAAGTATGGAGTTATGGTGAAGAAATAATGAGGACAAATCCTGGTTCAACAGTAAAGATAGATGTGGATGTCATGCCTGATTCCACCACTTACTTTTCTAAAATATATGTTTGTTTTAAGGGTGTGAAGGATGGTTGGATTGCAGCATGTAGGAGGGTAATAGGGGTAGATGGTTGTTTTTTAAAGGGTATATGTAGAGGCCAACTGTTAGCAACTATGGGTAGGGATGCAAACAACCACATCTTCCCTATTGCATGGGCTGTGGTGGCAGTAGAAAATAAGGAAACATGGAAGTGGTTTCTTGACCTCCTACTAGATGATATTGAAATGGGAATTGGTCATGGATTGACCCTCATATCAGACCAACACAAGGTATATTTTCTTTTATGTTTTGTTTGAGTTCAATGTTTTTTGTTATGTCATCCATTTCTTGTTTCTTTTAGGGATTGGTAGAGGCTGTCAAAGAAAGAGTTCCAGCAGCAGAGCATAGACAATGTGCTAGGCACATCTATGCTAACTTCAAGAAAAGATTCAAAGGTGAACAATATAGGAAGTTGTTTTGGGCAGCTGCTGCAAGTACTACTCAACCTAAATTTGAGGCAAAAATGAATTACATAAAGACAATTGACCCTTTAGCTTATGAACACCTCATGGAAAGTGATATGTGCATATTTAGTGTGTATTAAGTATAGTTTTTATTCATATATTAGCTAAATTATCGCATATTATGGACAAAAGGTACTTAAAAGTGTTAAATTATGTTTTTCAGTCCAAAGATGAAGCTCGGAATCAAAAGGAAGCAGGAGAAGCGGTTAGGAGCTCGAGAGTGGAATGAAGAAGAAAAACACCTAAAGGCTTCTACTCGATGAGTCGAGCCTGGACTCGACGAGTCCGGTCGAGGAATCTGAAGGATAATGATTCGGAATTTCAGATAGTTATCGTAATACGGAGAATGGGAGAGGGACTCGACGAGTCACCACTTGACTCGACGAGTCGGATTGCTTATTTAAAGATAACTCCACAGATCGAGAGAGGAGAATTCTGGGAAGTTTCAGAAGTGCTTTGCTGCGATTAAGAAGCCAGAAGAACCCTAGAAGTCGACAAAGAAAGCTAGAATTCAATTCCGGGAATAATTAAGGCACAATTTCATCATTCTACTTATTCTTTTGTTTTGTCAATATGATTAAGCAACTTGAACTTGTTTGCTTGCTGTTATTTACCTTAATTATGAACTAAAATCTTTAGACTTCTGTTTGGGGATACAAAGTTGACAATATGGTTTGATTGATTAGTAGGATTAATTCCAAGTTGATGAATTTTTGTTATTTTAGCTTGCTAAAGAACCTTGTGTATGAATAATAATTAATTTTCTGTTAATAGGAAGATAATTGATTAGCATGAACATCTATTGATTATCAACCTCATATGATATGTGACCACTACACTATATGTCTAGGATTAATGAATATGAAACTAGAATTAATAAGGAAATTAAGTAAATTTATGTGCAAGCTTGTAAGATGACCATCAAACAAGAGGTTAATTAAGAATAATAAATTAATTAGCTATTGTAAGTCTAACTTAACCCGAATAATTAATCTAGTAAATATAATTAAATTAAGCAATTGGCCACTGTTTGAGTTAGTTTATTTGCTAAGGATTAGGGTAGTGAACATGAACCTAATCACTTGAATCGGTAACCAACGAAAGAATTAATCCATTGCACTATTACCTTGAAATCAACCATAGAGTTAACCGAGTTGAACTAAACAGAAGTTCCTTTCCAATTATTGAATCTAGTTAAATTGTTATTTTCTAGTCTTAAATTAGTTATAGTTAGTAAGTTTCTAGTCTTGTAAAACTAGAGAAAAACCCCTATTTCTTAATCAACTTAGATAGAATTAGTTTTTAATTTAATTTGCCGTTCCCTGTGTTCGATACCCTGCTTATTTAGCTATACCACAATTGATAGGTTCACTGCCTTTTGTGTGTTATTTGATAATTAAAGTAGGTTTAAAACTAAGTGAGTTTTACACACACCAAGTTTTTGGCGCCGTTGCCGAGGAACGGTTCTAAAATTAGCATTAAAATTCTAATTCAATCGATCCTTTGTGTAAGATTCATCTTACACAAAGTTAATTTCTGTTTAAGTTTTTAGGTAAAAAAAAAAAAAAAAACCTGATTTTAACTTGGACTCGCCGAGTGCATTCGCCCAGACTCGGCGAGTACGACGCTGAATCAGATTTAATTTTTTGTTCTTTTTTTACGCGTTTTGTTTTGTTTTTTTTTTGTTTTGTTTGCAGTTGGTTCATGACCCGAGGATCTGATATGCCTCTGGTTCCCCCTCTTGAAGATCCGGAAACCGCATTAAGAAGAAACAAGGGCAAAACCGTTGGAGAAACTGCTTCTTCAAAGAACTCACCACTCAAAAACCTCAAATCCATTTTTAGCAAGAAAAGGAGCAGCAAATCAGGAGCATCCAGTGCATCATTGACAATCGAAGACCCGTTTCAAAGAGACACCGAGTACGAGACCGAGGAAGAAAACGAGCACACATCCGAGTTTGAAGACGATTTAGCCACCGCTATGGCTAATATTGATGAAATCCCCATGGGGGAATGGAAGAAGAGGATGCGTGATGACACCGGCCCAGGACTTGTGCAACCCGCAATTCCTGCAACCGCTACGTTTGAGCTAAAGGGCCATATTCTCGCTCAACTCAAGGAGATTCCTTTTCACGGGAGAGATCACGAAGACGCCTATAAGCACTTGGATGAAGTAAATGATGTGGCAGATTACTTCAATGTACCTAATGTGCCTCGCGCGATCCAGCTACTACGCATGCTTCCTGTCACATTTAAAGGAGCTGCAAAGGATTGGCTAAAATCACTCCCTCCCGGATCGGTTACCACATGGGCCAAGATGAAAGAAGAGTTCATAGATCATTTTTGCCCACCTTCCAAGATAGCCAAGCTAAAGAAAGCCATTGCCAACTTCGAGCAACAACCCGAAGAATCTCTTTATGAAGCTTGGGAAAGGTACAAGAGCCTACTTAGAAATTGCCCACACCATGACCTTAATAGCCAACAAGAGGTCTCAATCTTTTATGATGGAGTTAATGTCACCACGAGGCAACTACTCGATTCACAAGGCCCGCTCACCAGAAAGCCACCTCCGGAAATAAAGGAATTAATTGAAGAATTCTCTAAGCATTCTAGAGAATACCACAATCTGAGGAACGAAGTGAGTCGTGGAGCAGTAAACTCGGTGAACGATGGCATGGCGGCGGTAATAGCTAAACTCGATAGCCTAGACCGAAGAATGACGAAAATGGATCAAACGATCCATGCTATTAGGGTAGGATGCGAAAATTGTGGCGGCCCCATTCTTACCAAGGATTGTGATCGAGACGAAAATGGAAATAAAAAGGCTCAAGTATTCTATTCCAATGGCGATAGATACGATGAAGACTGGAGGAAACCGAAGAAGGAATGGCTCCCATATGAAGAATATAAAAAGGCTAAGGAGGAGAAATACAAACAGAGGGAGAGGGGATTCTATCAAAAGGAAGAGCCGGTGACGGAAAAGAAGGCAAATTTATAAGATATACTCACAAGGTTCATAACCGTGTCCGAGAAAAGACATAATGATCACGATGTAGCAATGCAAGAGACCAGAAACATGTTGAGGAATCAACAAGCTTCCATTCTCAACATTGAGAAACAGCTGGGACAGCTTGGACATCAAGTGAATGAAAGAAGACCGGGCCAACTTCCGAGCAACACCGAGCCCAATCCAAGAATGGAGAACGTGAGCGCAATAACCTCCAGCAGTGAAGAAAAATGCACAGAAGCACTAAGGATCTCCAAGAAGAAGGAAGACAAGGTAGAAGAATCGGAGCCAGCCAAACCCGACCCGACTCGCCGAGTCATTCCTGTGGACTCGACGAGTCCATGCGAAATTGAGAAACCCATCAGTTCTTCGAAACCTTATAAGCCTCCACTGCCATACCCAACCAAAGCCATGCCTGCAGAAAAAGTTGAAGCATACAGAACCTTCATGAATCATGTTAACGCTCTACAAGTTAATGTGCCATTTGTGGAAACAATACTTCAAACGCCTAAATACTTCAACTTGCTTAAGGGCCTTTTTGCTGCTAGGAAGGATTTGGCTGAAGTCGCAGAAGTATTGATGAGCGAGCTACCTAAAAAGAAGGGTGATCCTGGAAATATTGTGCTTCCATGCCAATTTGGTAATAAAGTCTTCACACGAGCATTAGCTGACTCGGGGGCAAGCATCAATATGATGCCTTTGTCATTCTATAAGAAGTTGAATCTACCAGAACCAAAACTGGTGAATATGAAGATCCATTTGGTGGACAAGACAATAATCCATCCAAAAGGCGTTTGTGAAGATCTCCTTATAAAAGTTGACAAGTTTATATTCCCAGTAGACTTCGTGGTTGTTGATATGGAAGAAGACCCCGAAATTCCAATTATTTTGGGGAGATCCTTCTTGAACACCGCGTGTGCTTTAATTGATATAAGTGAGTCTACATTGACATTGAGAGTGGGTGATGAGGCTGTGACGTTTAAAGCTATTCCAGAAATCAAGCAAGAAGAAGAAAAGATTGAAGAAGTCTCAATGATCCAATTGGATGATGAGATATTAGAAAAAGAGCTTGCACGTATGATGAAAGAGGATCCAAGCAAGTTTGTGATACACTCTGAAGAAGAAGGAGATGTTAACAAGGACTTGGATGAATTAGAAAAGCTACTGGAAGGAGCCCACTCAGAAAAAACCCAAGAATCGATAGAATTCGTACCGACTCGCCGAGTCACTTTAGTGGACTCGACGAGTCCAGTCGATTTGGGCAAACACTTGGCCGACTTAGATCTGCTTGTTACTAGTCCTTCACATACCTTGGATTTCAATAATATAAATCATTCTTTAGAAGAACAAACAGCAGAAGGAAGAAAGGAAAGGAGAGTCCAATACGCCGATGTAGCATGTCTTCATACGGTTCATTTCGAAGATGGGTTAAGCACTGGAAACGACGCAGAGATAAAGGAAAGGAGGGAGGAAGCTGATCACCTATTCAACACTAAACCTAGAGCACGGACCATTATGAAATGTGAAGTTATTAAATTTAAAGAGAAGGAGGTTCAAGAGACGGTGAAAAAGAAGGGGGTAAAGAAGAAAAAGAGGAAAAAGGAAGCCCAAGCAGCTAAAGATGAGGCAATGAAAAGGAAAAGAGATGCATTAAAAAGGGCTTACAAGAAAAAGATCCACGCTTACAAGACCAAGTACAAATCACAAAAAGTTAAGCGTGCGTTCCCGATGCTCGAAGATGACAAAACGTAGATGGGAAGGAGTCTAGCTAATGACTCCTCAAAAAAAGCGCTTGGCGGGAGGCAACCCGTTATATAGAGTTTGCTTTCTTTTACTTTTTAGTTTTCTTTTTATTTTTATTTTCCTTTCATTTTTTGAATCTTAATCTTCCAAATCATCGGACATGTCTGCTTGAGAGAGTGCATAGGCTAAGTGTGGGGTGAAATGATTTACAATAAATAACAAAATTTTGAAATTATGCATTTTTTATAAGCGACTCGCCGAGTCTGACCACGACTCGACGAGTCCACATGGATTTCAGAAAAGAATTGACTTCGCGACCAGACTCGCCGAG